CAGTGATGTTGGGGCGGTGCATGTAGAAGTTGGCAGTGTTGTGGGGGGAATGAATGGGGGTGTAGGCAGTACTGTTGTTCGTGGGGTTGTTATTGGGGAACAAAAAAGAAGGAGGGTAGAGGAGGGGGATGACGTGGGGGGTGAGGGTGTAGAGGGTGGTGGTGCGATGGATTGTGGAGAAATGGTGTCAAAAAACGAATTGGGGGCGGGTCTTGCGGAGCAAGCCCGCCGGGAATTATGAGTCCCATCTGACGGCAGTTCGTGTTTTAGCGGACCTAGTTCGCACAAAGAGGCCGACTGTGGTGTATTTGATTGAGACTTTCGTGGGTAAGCAACGTATGGAGGGTATCCGTGTGCAGCTGGGTTTTGATTGTGTGTTTACGGTGGAGGGGGATGGGCATAGCGGTGGTTTAGCTCTGTTGTGGATGAATAGTGTGGACTTGAGGGTTTCGGGTTATTCTGCGAATCATATTGATTGTGACCTGCGGTTGGATGTCGGAAGCCCATCCTGGCGTTTTACTGGTTTTTACGGGTACCCGGAGAGGCACCGTAGGTGGGAGGCATGGCAGTTGTTTCGCACCTTGTCATCTCGGTCTTCTCTTCCGTGGCTGCTGATGGGGGATTTTAACGAGCTACTAGATCAGTCTGAGAAGGTTGGTCGGGTCCCACATTCGTCTTGGTTAATTAATGGGTTTAGGGCGGTTATTGCTGACTGTGGTTTGCAGGATGTTCCTTTTGAGGGGCCCCAGTTCACTTGGGTGAAGTCGCGAGGAACGGGACATATGATTGAGGAGAAATTGGATCGTATTCTGGCATGCGACGATTGGTTGAATTTGTTAGAGGGAGCTCAGGCGCATTCGCTGGTTGTTCCATATAGTGACCATTTGCCCCTAATAATAACTCCGGTTTCACTCCCTCGGGTACAGAAGCGTGCCAGGTTTTGTTTTGACAATATGTGGCTGCGGGAGGAAACGTGCAGGGAAATTGTCTCCCACAGCTGGGACAGGACGGTGGGCCAAAACACGTTGGCACGGGTGGAGGCGTGTGCTCATGACATATGGAGATGGGGGCGGAGTTATAACAGGGAGTTCCAGAGAAAGATTGAGTTTAATAAGCGTCGCTTAGCCTGGCTAAGAGGGCGTCGTGATGTGCCAGGTATGCGTGAGTATGATGAGGTAGAAAGGGAGTTGCTTTTTTTGTTGGAGCAACAACATTATTTTTGGAAACAGCGGGCTAAGGAATTCTGGTATCAAGGTGGGGACATAAATAGCAAGTTTTTTCACAATTCTGTGAAAACTAGACGCCGTAAGAATACTATTAGAAGGCTCCGGGATGAGAACGGAACTTGGGTAGAGGATGAGGAGGGGTTGGACAATGTTATGCTGAATTATTACAATGGTCTTTTCACCCCGGACTATGGTGAGATGGAGGAGGTAATTGATGCTATATCGGGGAAGGTGACTGAGCATGATAATGCAATGTTATTGCGCCCACTGAGTATGGAGGAGGTTAGGGCAGCGGTGTTTCAGATGCATCCTGACAAGTCCCCGGGTCCTGATGGTTTTGGGCCGGGGTTTTTTCAGTTTTTCTGGGACATTGTGGGGGGTGAGGTTATGACTTTCTGCAGGGGCTTCTTGGATTCGGCTAAGATCCCGGATGGTGCTAATGATACCCTGGTTGTTCTGATTCCGAAGAAGGCTAGGCCGGAGTCTATGAAGGATCTGCGCCCGATAGCGTTGTGTAATGTCATCTATAAGATTGTGGCTAAGGTGTGTGCTAATCGTTTAAAACCTTTGTTGCAGAAGCTGATTTCGAATACGCAGAGTGCCTTTGTTCCGGGCCGCCTAATTACTGACAATATCATGCTTGCCTACGAGGTTCACCATTATTTGAAACGGAAAACCCAGGGCCGTGAGGGGGTGGTGGCTTTGAAGCTTGACATGTCCAAAGCCTATGATCGGGTGGAGTGGGAGTTCCTTCGGGCAGTGTTGCTTAAGTTGGGATTTGGTGAACGATGGGTCAATATTCTGCTTGAAACGGTAACTTCTGTACGGTATCATATCTTACATGACCAGCGGCGATTGGGACCGATTATACCTGGTAGGGGTCTTCGTCAGGGGGACCCTTTGTCCCCATATTTATTCCTCTTTGTCGCAGAAGGCTTGAGTTCCATGATTGAAAGAAGTATGGCTGCGGGCCGATTGCATGGTGTCTCGGTTGCGAGGGGTGCGCCTTCTGTCTCTCATCTTCTTTTTGCAGATGACTCATTCCTGTTCCTTCGGGCAAACGAGGAGGAAAGCGTTCAAATGAGGTATGTGCTGGACACTTACGCTAGGGCTTCTGGCCAGTATGTTAATTATGATAAATCTGCTGCATGCTTTAGTGCTAATGTGCCTCAGAATGTAAGGAATGAAGTGGTTGATGTTCTTGGCGTGGAGGAGGGGGAGACTAGTGGGAAGTACTTGGGTTTGCCGTCTCTAGTGGGAAAGAGGAAGAAACCTATTCTGGGGTTTCTGAAGGATCATATACTAACCAGGGTTCGTTCTTGGAATGCCAAGTACCTGTCAAGAGCTGGGAGGGAGGTTCTATTGAAAAATGTTTTGCAGGCAATGCCAGCATATGCTATGATGGTGTTTCTGCTCCCCTTGGGCCTTTGCCGGGAGATTGAGGTAGTATTGAATCAGTACTGGTGGTCTGGTGATGTGAGTAATGGTCGTGGAATACGATGGCGTTCTTGGGAGGGTTTGTCAAGGCCAAAAGCGTGTGGGGGAATGGGGTTTAGACGCCTTCATGAGATGAATAAAGCTCTTCTGGGAAAGCAGGCTTGGAGGTTGATTTCCAATCCCACGAGTTTAGTGGCACGTGTTTTTAAATCACGTTATTACCCTGATTGTGACTTTTTTTATGCCAGGGAGGGAAGCAATCCGTCCTACATATGGCGGGGTATGTTAGCAGTTAAAGAGTGCTTGAAGGAGGGGTGTAGGAGGGTGATTGGCGATGGTAATGGGACTATAATTGGCAGGGATCCTTGGCTACCAGTGGATGATAATCCTTATGTCGAAACGGAGTTGCATCAGACAGTATATCAGGCCCCGGTGTCCTCCTTAATGAATTTACATGGTAATGGTTGGGATGTGGAGTGTGTTAAGGATATCTTTAATACCCGTGATGCTAATTTGATTTTGAATATTCCTGTCAGTATTCGAAAGCCTTGTGATCGGTGGTTTTGGCATTGGGATCAGAAATGTGCGTATTCAGTTAAATCTTGTTATAAGCAGCTTACTTTGGTGCCTGCAAGTGATCGCCCTTGGGCAAGTATTTGGAGTTTGCATGTCCCTCCAAAGGTGAAGAGTTTTTGTTGGCAGTTAGCATCCCACTTCCTTCCAACACGTGATATTTTAATGACTAAGAATGTAGCTTGTTTGTTGAATTGTCATATGTGCAGACAAGTACAGGAGTCGGCCATGCACCTTTTTGTTCAGTGTGGGGAGGCAGTTCGGCTTTGGAATAAGCTGGAGATGTCGCATGTCAGTGCCTACGATGGTAATAATCTTGGAGACTGGTTTTTTTGGGCGTTGGGCACCTTAGATTTTTGTTCAAAACCAAAGTTTGTTATGGCTTGTTGGGGTGTGTGGACCAGTAGGAATGAGAGTGTGTGGAAGGGTATTGATTTTGACTTGTGTACTATGTTGCATAGGGCATTGCTGTTTCTGGATTGTTGGAAAAATGCGAATGAGAAGCTGTCAGTTGGCGTTGCCCATTTAGGTTCGCATGTTGGGGAAGGTTGGGCAAGGCCACCACATGGGAGGTTAAAGCTTAATTCGGATGCTGCACTAAATGTTGAGGAGAATGAGTATGAGCTTTGGATGGGTCTTACGTGATGATGTTGGGAATTTTCTGGCTGCCAAGAATATAAGAGTGCCCGGGTTATGTGCGGTACGGGAAGCAGAGGTGCTATCTATTCGGGATGCATTGAGTTGGTTAAAGGGTACAGGACTAGGTGCGGTGGATGTGGAAACAAATTGTCAGGTTGTTTTTAATGCAATTTCTTCAGCCTCTTTTATTTCAGTTTTTGGTTATTTAGTAGATGATGTAAAGAATTTGGCATCTGAGATTGATGATGTGAAATTCTGTCATGTTAAGCGATCTGCGAATTGTGCTGCCCACACTGTTGCTAGGGAGGCCTTTTCTGTGTCAGGTTGCGGTGAGTGGTGAGATGAACCACCTGCCTATCTTGTTAACATTCTTCTTTCCGATTTAATGAATTAAGTTATTCTTTTCAAAAAAAAAAAAAAAAAAAAATTAATTTTTAGTAGGTACATAATTTGAATGTCGTTTTAAATCAAGATCCACAATGCATGATGAACCTTAAATTATAATAATATATTACTCCGGTACACAATTTTGCCCATATTAATAAACCAAGCTCACAATGCTATTTGGAAACATAATATTAATAATCGCAATTTCATATTTTAAATAGGCGGTCCATTGACTATAGCGAAATTATCAATTTAATCCTTGACTATTTTTCTTGACCAATTAAGTTCTCAATTTTAAAAATCTTAACCAATGTTGTCCTCCGTTCGTTTTGCCGTTAGACATCCGTTAACTCGGGACCAAATGGATAATTTTGCATTTTGCTATAATGAAGGGACATTTCGGTCATCACATGTAAAATAATCTATTGATTATAACGAAATTATCAATTTGATCCCGAGTTAACGGATGTCTAACGGCAAAACAAATGGAAGACCAAATTGGTCAAAAATTTTAAAGTAGAAGGACTTAATTGGTCCAAAAAAAAAAAGTTAACTAGCCAAATTAGTAATTTCGCTATAGTCAATGAATCATTTCGGTAATTAACTCTTTTAAATATTAGTACAAACTTCTTTCTTCGATCTATATGGATTCAAAATCTACAAAATAATCAACAAAAAACTCACAAGAAATCAGCCTGTGCTGGAGAACAATTATGTGACTCTTTGCAAATGATCATTCAGACAATATTAGAGAAGTGATAATTGAAACAATAAATCAACCATAACACATACTACATTCACTAGGACCACTGGGCCACCAAAGGCCCAAAAAAGGAAGAGGTTTGCCAAAAGACCTGATTGTCCTAGAAAATTTTGCAGCTAAAGGAGCCAGATACAACAAATATATACTATAGATGACATAAATGCTTGAAAAGCATCTAAGTTTCAGTGAAAGTACAGTATATAATTTCTAATGTAAACGGTGAAAAACTCCCAACTTTATTAAGCTGCAACAGTCTTTGGCTTCACCCCAATTTTTCTCCAGGAAACACTTGGCATTATCTGCTTTGTGTCGATGCGATCTTTGAATTGGACGACAAAGTTTAAAAGCGAGTCAAGAAGGGAGTCCGATAGGAGGTGCGGTTCTAGTCCCAACTCGATAAGTTTAGTGTGTTTGGCATTGTAGTAATGTTCCTCTGCCTCTACTCTCGGGTTGGGAACGGATATGGTTTTCACCTCAAGCCCGAGTTTCTCTCCAGCCTTGGTTACAAGGGCTGCGAGCTCGTTCACAGAAAATTGCTCCGTGAATTGATTGAAAACCCGAAACTCTCCTCGCTTTGCTGGATTGGCAATTGCAAGCTCAACACACTGCACTGTGTCTCTAATATCCAGGTATCCTCTGGTCTGCATATAATTAAAAGAAAATCAAAACTACATGAGCATAGAAATAAAGAATAAAATAGGTCATGTCTTCATGAAGTAATAGAAACCCAAGTTTTAGTCCCTCCTAACTTATATAATAGGAGGATTTTTTTTTTTGGGTGTAATAAACGATTTCCACCGTTGGACACAGTGACTAATCCCCTCATTGAACTATAGGCCTCTAAGGGTGAGACAGCTGACCTGGAGACTTAAGGCTGCTCCATACCTAAAGTCAAGAATCAATCCCTTGACGTTTGAGCCCCTTCCACTCAACCACACCCCCCAGGTTATATATGATAGGATACTAAACACAAATAGGGGAAGCAAATAACCAGCTTGGATGGCGTGAGTGGCCGTGCACTCTCGTCCCTTAAGAGAGGTCGGGAGTTCAAAGTTCAAACCCCCTCTTGTATGGAAAAACCAATCTGGCCAACACTTTGCCTCTTAATTAGGCCGGCCCGGTGCGAACAGGGATTAGTCTGAATATGGTACGGGCTTAAAGGTGTCTCCTACAGTTAAGGCCTGCTCAGGACACCTCGTGGTCTGACCAAAATAGGGGAAGCAAATTGCAATTATATTATATATCGTTGTGTTTCACTAAGACTTACGGAATCCTCAACCAATTATCTTAATGTTCAAAAGATTTATTGGTAAAACTAAATTCAGCAAGATCGAGAATTCAAGATTATTTCACTTCACAAATGTCTCGTGGCAATGGTATGACTTCCCATCCAAAAAAATGAAGTTTATAATCGGTTAGCATATAACATAACAAAAATGGATTATAGAAAAATCCTACCTGCCCTCCTTTGCCGTAGACAGTGAGAGGATGGCCAACAGCTGCCTGAACACAGAAACGATTCAACGCAGTCCCAAATACTCCATCATAATCAAATCTGTTAACCAGCTCCTCGTGCATTGTGGTTTCATCAGTTCTCACCCCATAGACAACTCCCTGGTTCAGATCAGTGGCTCTGATCCCCCATGCCTTGCAAGTAAATGCGATGTTATGGGAATCATGGACCTTGCTCAAATGATAGAAGGAACTCGCTTGTTTGGGGTAGGGCAGAGTATCCGTTCTTCCATTGTGTGTAATTGTTATATAACCCTCCTCAATGTCTATGTTTGGGGTACCGTATTCTCCCATTGTCCCGAGTTTCACCAGATGGCAATCTTCTCTAAACTCCTTTATCGCAAACAGAACATTAAGTGTCCCTATCACATTATTATGCTGAGTGAATACAGCTCGGGACCTATCGATCATTGAATAAGGAGCAGACCTTTGTTCTCCGAAGTGGACAACAGCATCGGGTTCAAACGACATGAAGGCTTCCGCCAAGAACTCGAAATCACAAATGTCGCCAACAAAGAGTTGAATGTCCTTTCCGGTGAGAGATTTCCAGCGCCTTACGCGGTTGTGGATGGACGAAATGGGCGTGAGAGAGTCGAGACCAAGCTGGTGGTCAAAAAGGCGACGAACGAGGTTGTCAACAATGGCAACTTCGTAATTTTTGTTGGACAGGTGGAGAGCAGTAGCCCAGCCACAATAGCCATCACCGCCAATGACCATGACTTTCTTTCTCCTCGAGGCGGCATCACCCGTAGTTTGGTCGGTTTTGCTTTCTTGGCCCAAGGAAACAGCCTTAGCACGGATGGTGTACCTGTTTGACTGTTTCCCTCGCAAGACAATCTCTTTTGGTGAGCTTGAAATTTTCAGTCGAACGGATTTAGGCATAAGAACTGAGCCTCTGTTAAAGGGCTTGCAATGAAGCTTGTGGTTAACATAAATATCCAAACAAGAAGTAGAGAGCAAATGCGCCATGACAACTGCCGGTTACCCCGAATATTCAAACCCTGCAGATATAAAGGAGCAGTTAGATTAGTGTCCATAGAGTCATTGTTGTTGTCACCAGAGGCACAAAGGGCACGGGCCCTCGAAAATACAAGAATTACGACAGTGTCTGTGAAAATTGCTTTGCTATCTAAGTTTCAGTAAAATCAAAATATATTCAACCATCGGTTAAAGTATTACGTGACCAATTTGCAAATAAAGTTCGCCATCAAATTCCCAGGATTAGAAATATGAACTCAAGCTTCAATCAACATCAAAAAATGAAGGACTGCAAATTGCATATTTTTCTCTGAAACTAGAATCCTATATTCTCTTAACAATACTAGCATCAGTAGTCCACCAAGATTATTTAAATTAAAAAAAAAAAAAAAAAAAATTGGCATCAGAACATAATTTGAAAGCAATTAGGTCATCACAACCCATCAAGCTTCATTTTCTTAGGTTTATTTATATACTCTAAATAATAGTTCTAACCTCAACAAAACCCCCAATCAACATTCAAAAACTAGATAATACACAAAGATACAAACTTTAATAGTACAAAAACAATCATTTATCTGGTATTTCGGCTCTCAAGATCATATTTATAAGACATTTGTACCTTAATTCCACTACTTAGAAAATGGAATACTAAAACAAAGTAAAATTAAAATACCCAGTTCAACATAGAAGCTAATTTGAAGCTTGAAAGCAATAAAGGAAACAGAAACGAAAGCAAGAATCTTGAGGAAGTAAGAACCAAGGGATTATACCTTGTGAAGAAAGTGCAGAGAGAGATTCAAAGGCTCCTCAGTGGAGACTGGAGAGTGTGCTTCGTTTCAGTGAGAGAGAGAGTGGAAGAGATGGGAGCGGGGAGCCCACGACTTCCCTATTTCGTTCTTGAGGGAAACTGGGAAAGGATCAAATGAAGTAGGGAGGATATTCCCAAGATATGAAGCAAATTGCACATCTGCCCCTGATCCCTTTCTTCAATTTTGAACCCATTGGAGAATGCTCAAGAACAACTCATCTTTGTAATTTTCGTTTTTTTATATAAATATATTTAGGGGGTGTTTGGTTGGATGGAAAATGTTTTATAAGTGAAGGAAAAATAATGTTTTATGTTGTTTGGTGGGATGGAAAACATTTTTCATTGAAAAAAATTTTCTTTAAGAATGAGAAAAATTAATTTCTAGCTCATCCTAGGTATTTTGTTTTCTATGGTACTATTACCATTCTTTATTAATTACTCTTATTATTATTATTATTGTGTAGGGTTATATTTGTCATTATACTTATTATTCCTTACAAATTTCAAACTCAACCAAACAATGAAATTCATATTTCCAGTAATTTCTTCTCCACCAACCAAACAATGGAATCTATTTTCTTGGAATTTACTTTCCATGGAATTTCATTTCCATTTCCCTTCAAATATTTTCTAGCGAACCAAACGAGTTGTTAAGAGTTAATTCAAGCAATAGTCCTCTAATTATTGTGATTTGTAAATTTGGTCCTCGTCTTTTAATTTAGACGAAATAAACTCTTGACTATCGAAATTGTTCCACCATTAATCCTTTCATGAACATGCATGGCGTTGGATAGACATTAAGTTAAGGGGTAAAAAGGTCCTTCCATAGGTCTCTTCTTCTCCTTCCTGTTCGACGAGTTAACTCTATCGAGATAGAACTAACCCTTTAACAATATAATTAGAAATTAAAATTCAAACCTCAAATCTATAATGCCTAACATCTAAATTCTTAAATCCCTAATTAATTTCCCTATTATATGATATGTCGCTCTTCCAAACTCAACCAAATCCAACGGTCAACGACGAAGCCAAGCCCATGGCTGACAAGTCGACAACAACGCTGCCCTCCCCTGCGAATCTGCAAAGAAGACGACAACCGACGACGAAGCTAGATGTCGACGACGCCTCCCGCCCTCCCCTGCGAATGCGAATCTAGGTATGTCTCTTCATTGAATTTATTCACTGATTCTACATCGTGAAGGCACCCATTCTTGATTTTTCGACTGAAATCTATGGTATTTAGAATTTTAGATTGTGAAGGCTTCAATTTGTTCCATCTTAAATCCATGTGAGGTGTAGCACTTAGCAGTGAGTGTGAATTTGGAATTTTTTTTATTGAGAATTTGAGATATAGTTTAAGAATTGAATTGTTAAAAATGTAGGAATTATGATATAGTTATAGAATTCACTAGTTACTACGCGCTTGTTGCACGAATAGTCTGGTGGTTAATGTATATTTTTAAATTAGTGTTTCAGAATTTATCAAAATATCATTCGGTATTCTGGCGCATATCAATGCAAAAATATCAAATATTTCATAAAAGTAAATATTTCGAGAATGCATAACTATGACCTGTGGCAGAAATGTTGGATTAACTGGTGCAATAACAATTTTAGAGGGAAGCCTAGGCGGCCTAGTCGGTGCCTAGGAGGCGCCTAGAAAGTCTAGGTGGTTAGTGCCTATGCACCCTAGGTGACGGTTAGCCGGCCAGCCGCCCGCAAATTATGCTGTGGAAAAGTGTTCACCATGCGCATAGTGAACATAGGGGTAGATCCATAATTTTTATGCTGTAGATTTATAATTTTGTTTTTCATTTGTTGTTAACGACGTTTCTCTCTTCGCAATCGCATTATTTCGTCTTCGCAGTACAAATATTATGAATCTACAGTAAAGAAATTATGAATCTACAGTATAGAAATTATGAATCTACAGTATAGCAATTATGAATTGATGTTCATATATCCCAATTGTTGAACTCTGTATTCACAAATCACATAACTATATTATGAATTTACGGTATAGAAGTTATGAATCTACAGGATAGATGTTATGAATCTACACTCTACAGTATAGAAATTATGAATCTACAGCTTAGAAATTATGAATATATCTCGTGTTCACCATACACATGGTGAACACGGTTCCACAGTCTAACTATTACCAGCCGCCTAAACCACCAATTATAATGATACGATAGGCGGCCGACCAACGCTAATTGGTGCCTAGATATTTCAAATCCCTGTAGTATGTTTGTTATTGTACACGTTTTCCTCCATCTTTTCAATGCATTTTGAGGCTTTATTTAAAAAAACCTCACCATTACTGCCCTTTCTTCCCATTAGTCAGTATATACCTTATTTGCGAGTTTATCGCACTTTTGGTCTTACGATTATAATGGCATTATTAGGATTGATTCACGACTTTCAAATTTTGCAATCTCAATCTATGATTATTGTTTTTTTTTTTTACAAAAATGATCATTATGGCCGATTTTCCGTTAATTTCTCAACGGAGTAAAAACTATTTCCGACAAATTTGGGCTGAAAAATTGACGAAAAATATGTCGGAAGGACCTTTTTTACAACCCAAAAAAAAAATAGTCGTGGACCGAAATTAGGGATGGCAACGGGGCGGGGCGGGGGCGAGGACTATAGTCCCTATCCCCGTCCATGTCCCATCCTCGACGGGAAATTGAAAATAGTCCCCATCCCCGTCCCCGCGAGGAATTTGGCGGGAACGGGAATTTCCCGTCCCCGATCAACTTTTAGTCAACTGAGAATAAGTCTTCCCGTGCGGTCAGTGCGGCATACACCATTAGGTATGCATAAATGCACTACACAGTGTTCGAAAATACATCATTATGTGTAGTGTATTTTTTGTTTTTTTGTGTGGTGCATTTTTTGGCATTTCATTCTGGTGTATTCTCGAATACTGTATGGTGGATTTATGCATACCTAATGTCTTAATGGTATATGTTGCACTACCCGTACAAGAAGATCTGTGAGAACAGGTCTTCTTGTACGGACAGTGCAACATATACCATTAAGTCAGGGCTGGCCCTGGCCCTGGGCAAGTCTGCCCAGGGCCTTTGCACATATGTATGTATTACTACTGTACAGTTGCATTATGTAATATATATAAAACTTGTTTATTTATTTATTTATTTTAATTATAATAATTATTTTCGTCTCCGTCGGGAAAGGGTGTTCTCGTCTCCGTCGAAGAATTTTAAAAATTTCCCGTCCTCGATCCCTGAATTTTTTCTTCGTCCCTGTCCTCATTCCCTACAGAGACGGGGATCCCTAGCGAGAACGGGATACATTGCTATCCCTAACTGAAATTGCAAGATTTAAAAGTCATAAATCAATTCTAATAATGTTATTATAATCGTGGGATCAAAAGTGCGATAAACTCCTTTATTTGCTTTAATAACTGAGCCCAGCTATTCTTTTTTGGTGTTTTTATTTGCTTTTCAGAAGACATTCTCTTTGTCATTATACTCCATTCTTCTTTATTTTACATGGATAAATTCTTCCATGATTGCATGTAATTAATCTTTTAATTTAATTTGTTTCGTCTTTTCTAAAGGTTCTATATACCGTAAAAGTCTGTATTAATGACTCTTCTATTTAGATATCTCTTTTAGATAAATAACTTTTCTTGCTAAAACTACTCTTTTAAAACAAGAGCTATTCTAACTAATTTTCCTGTTTTGAAACCTCTTTTAAAAAGTAACTATTTGAAAACACTTACAGGGCGTTTGGTTGGAGGGAGGGAATTATGTGGGAAATGAATTGTAATTCCATGGGAGTTGAATTAATGGGAATAAAGTGGGAATTTAAATTCCAGTGTTTGGTTGACAGGAATAAAATTACTGGGAATTTCAATTCCAATGTTTGGTATACATGGGAATTGAAAGGCAATAAGTAGTATAAAGTAAAAAATGTCCATTATTGTTGTTAGACATTAATTTTAGGTTAAAAAATGAAGGGGTAATTTTGACTCATCACTATATTTTTTTCCCAGGAATTAAAATACCAGGGGGGACATGGGATTTTAATTCCATGAAAATGGGGGAATTGCAATTCCATGGAATTGCAATTCCCTCCAACCAAACTACGGAATTTAATAGTCTTTGGAATTAGGTGGGAATTAAGTGGGAAGGGAATTTAAAATTCCTCCAACCAAACGCCCTGTTAGAGCCAAAAATTTAATCAAAATTCCTTGTCTTAACAATTTTCTAGAAGTAAAAAATCCATCTAAATTGGTAAATCTTATTTTTCTAATTTCTAATAATTGAACAATAGCAACATATTCAAAAAAAAATTACGTTTTGATCAAATGACTCACTGATTTCATCCTTAGAATATAAAAAATATACATAACAATACTTGGAATACTCATCAATAAATTAATGTGACGTGTGTACTTTCAATTTGGCAACTTTGAACTGCGGATAATGGTCCACACAATAATTTGTGTACTTTATATACCCAGATTATAGTGGATCCAGTTCCAAACAATCACCCATAATTAAAAACCCGTTATCTAATTTAAATGAGGTATTATTCTATTAATTCAGTCTTACTCTCCTCATTTCATCACATTCTCATAAACATATTTCAATTACACTTTATATATTTTCCATGATCAATGCCACCGCTTACTACGTTTATCATCCATTTGCTTTTTTCCGATTGATGATTGGGATTCATTTTTATTTTTTTACATGATTTTTTTTCCATACAAACACACAATGAATATTAAATTAAAAAAAAAAAAAACTAAAAATAAAACATGTCATTTAATTTACGTAATTATATCCAGTCTAGCTACTAGCTAGCCTAGTTTAATATATAAAATTAGTAGTTGTACATACTCTAAAAACATGACACACATAGAACCTCTATATCTTTGAGTGAAATGTAGGGTGAAGTGTATTAACATAAAAAATACAGTCTTATACGATTATATATATAATATATCTCACTTTCTAAGTGAAAACTTGGATGCTGCATTCTTCAAATCCTCCTCCCCCTCTTCCTTTGCCTTGATTGAGTTGTCTATCAACCCAATCCCATCACTGCATACATAACAAATCATATCATATCCAACCCTCATAAACCATAAATAATGTTTCAACATAATACAATAATAACTTTTAAATAGAAAAAGAATTCTAAATAGTAAATGGAAAATGATATATGTACTCCCATGGAGTATAAAAATGAATGAATAAAAACATAGCCCACTTTGTTATCTAAATTAATCAAAGAATGACACCTCAGCAAAGAGTAAAAAAGTGGAATAGAAAGTGGGAATACATGTTTTATTACTTATAGAGGTGGGTTCATGTTCTATTGAGTTACCATGATTTACATCCTCCCAGATGCTCTGTCGGGCCGGGGTGTGGGGGACCTTAGGGTTGGGGTTCAACCTTTTGGAAAGAATGTGTCCAAAATAATATATTCTCTAACCAAGAGGCAGAAAAGGAAGTTTACATTAGGGTGAAATGTTGGTGGGTTAAATGAAATTAAACATGGAATTTTTTTGTCATAACTGATGAATGTATTAAATGAGTCAGCTTCTAAGGAATTTTGAAAATGTGGCCTAAAACTATTACTAACCAATTGAAGGCTAATCAAAGCTAATTTATTACCATATTCAAATATGGTCATTTCCACATAGAACCATACCTTTCACTCTGATATGGTCATAGCCTAATTCTAACATGCCTAACAAAATTCCTTTCATGCATTGTTGACACTCTCATATAAACAAACAATATCTTTACCTATAAATTGTCATCCAAGGCACAATTTAACACTAAATCTAATACAGTAATACAGATATTTCAATCTCAAAATGTAATCAATCAGGCAAAAAGTTCATAACAAACCTCAATTTTACTGATGATCCTGCAAATGAAACTTCTCCATTATCAAATTGTTGTTTCTCCGGAAATCTATGAAATCGATGATCGGTGATGTGTTGTTTATCATTTCTAACGAAATCTGGAGTATTGCTACTGGATCCGAGTTGACTCGATGGATCGAAGGCCGCCGCAGCCATTTGTCTGGAACGGTAGAAGGCGAGTTGTTGGTTTACGATATCCAACTCCACCGTGCTATACTTCAACTGCTGGTTGAGATTGTGGATCAAACCTAAGCAGCCGCCGACCGGATCCGCCGCCCGGGCGTTCGCTTCGTAGATCACGGACACCATGAAATCGTGCGATTTCCGTTTATCGATGGCGGCGAGAGCTCGGGTCAAGTTTCTCACGCCGAAGAGTTTGTGTACGTTCAGAAAGTCTCGCTGCTTATAAGCTGGGAAATGAGGGGCAAGAGGACAATCTGGAGGACATTTCCTCCTCTGGTGCTTGCAAACCGCGCACGCTCCGCCGCCTCCGCCGGCGGCGGAGGCGTGTGTTTCGGCAGTGTGTTTGAAAGAGAGAGTATAGGGAGGGGGAGGGGGAGAGGGAACGCTAGCTTTTGGGTAGGTGTTTGTGGGATTATTAGCCGTATTAACCATTGTTTGCGGCTATGAGGATGGATTTGGGCGGTGTTTTCTCGTCGAAAATGTCGAGAGAATCCGAAAAGCAACTGAAATATAGGGACGTGAGGGAGAGAATCGCGGGACAGTGGGATTGTGGGTTTCCGGTTTCGTACAAGCGTACAAGTCTCCTCTTTTCCTTGTGAAAAAACCTTCCATTATTATCTTTTTCATCAACATTTTATTTATTTTTTATTTGTCTTTACATATATATATATCAATCAATTTGATCTAAACATGAGGTTTATTGGTATACAAATTATTATTTAAATCTTTGCACCTTATGGCACATTTTTATTTAAATTTTTTAAGAGACTTAATTCCATTTGTTTTCTAAAATTACTAGGTGTTATTCTATTTATGATTTTTTTTTTTTATTTATAGTATCTCATGTTGGTCCTAGTATTATTGTGGTATGATCATCTTTTGTCTGCCATCAACAAACATGTTTAAATGACCTTAAATACGGGGACATTTCAATTTCATTATACAAAGTACGTTAACTCGTTATATTTTTATTTTGGAAAAAATTCATAATTCACAGTTGGAGTCCCTTGTCTTCTTCAATTGCAATCTGCGCCTCTGGAGCATAGCCTCCCCAACCTTTTATTTTTTTATTTTTTTTTATTTTTTATGTAGCCTCCCCAACCTGAGCCTCTATAGCAATGGAATAATACATACTCTCTCTATTTCATTTTATCTGTCCTACTTACTTTTCATTGGTCAAACCAACTCTTTCTTCTTTGTTTATATCCATTAGCATTTCTTATGATTTTTAAATTTGATTTTTTGTGTTTAATAGTACTTTTAATGTAGTTTTAATTTACTTTTATTGGAGTACATTTTCATTTATAATTGCAACATTACACATAAGAGAAAATATAATACTTTTGCTAAAAAAAAGTAATACTTTTATGACAAAATACAAAAGTATTATGTTTTTCCTTTATAAATAACAAACATTTTATTCATGATTTAGTATTAAATTTGCTACCATAAATATTACATTTACATATTTTACTCAACCCGACCGACTCGTTAATCTATGAGACGGTCTCACACAAGTGTAACATTTGAAAATTAATAATACAATATCAATTCAAAAATTAAAATAGCGATGCAACTTAAGCAATTTAAAATATTTATTCAACTTTTTTTTTTTTGGAAAGGAACCATCATGGTATATTAGAGATACTCTGAAATAGAGTTAGGAGGGACAGAGTCCCAGTACATAGCAATAGTCTGATCGAAAGTAGTAGAAGCTAAAATGTTATCCGATCTAGGAATAAATTTTACTGAACAGAAATCAAAAGATGACATAGAAGATCTGCAACCATCAATAGCATAACCAATATATGAACGAACCGGTGCAGCCGTGGAAGATAGATAATCCTGAAGCGTCTGACAATCCATGTAGAGCTCTATAGACCGTTTTCCACGATTCCTTAGCCAAGACAAGACTTCGTTGCACGCAAATGCTTCGGCCATTAGTGGAGAGAAACAATTTGGAAGCGTAGTACTGTATGTCGAAATATATCGACCCCTTCCATCTAGAAGAACCGCCCCCATTACGGCCATGTTGGACGCATGATGATAGCCGGCATCTACACGGCAGATCCTTGGCAGTTGGGCAGAATTGTTTGTAGCAGCCGGCGGTGGTTCTGGGGGCAAAGCAGCAACAACGACGTCGGAAGTCACGGCAGTCTCGGCTGGCAGCAGTGAGACGGCAGGCTTGTGTACCTTGCGCCAAGCGTGCATGGTGGCCGTAGCGGAGGCTAGGAGTTTCCTCGGCATCGGAAGATAAGCATCCCAAACCGCACCATTTCTTGGTCTCCAAATATGATAAAGAATTGCAGGTGCGTACATAACTCCATTAGTGTCTAGAATATTCAAGAGCTCACTAAACCAATCATGAAAAACATTTGTTACAATATTGGGGATGGGATGGTTGGATTGATTCCAAATGGAACTTGCATAGTCACACGTAACCAATGAGTGCATAGTATCCTCATGAAGAACTCCACACATGGCACAAATAGGATTAACCTCTACCCTCGTTATAAGCAAGTTTTTTTATAATGAGAAGAATATCACTTATAACTCTCCATAGGAAGGTTTTTCATTTGGGGATTTTAAGCCTCCATAGGGTGAGCCATTTATCAAAATATTTATTCAACTTTATTATTGAATTTCCAATTTAGCACATGTTATGCAATGCCTCGTGACTAACAATTGAATTAGTTTCCTTATATCAAACTAATCATATTCAAAACTACCAACATATTAACTCGTACCTAAATGTGCGATAATATTAACGTAACAACTCGTAACTAAATGTGCATGTTATTACACAGAATAAGATTTACCAATTAAAAATTGACCTTATTATTTACAAAAAAAAAAAAAAAAATCATGAAAGAAACATGAGACAAATAAATAATTGGCTGTCGAATAGGGTGTGGTCGTCTTATTTTAGATGCCATAACTTATTTACATTTTCTTTTTCATCTTTTGACAGTATTTATACACAATTTGGTCCAATCTACAAAATATAAAATCTATTTTGTGTTAATGAAAATATGTTGACTACATAATAAAATATATGAAAACTAAAGAAATAATAGTTAAATAGGTCATCAAACTACACACCAAATTGCAATTAGATCACGTACTCAAAAAGTTATAATCAGGTCCCTAGTCCCTACCAACGCAATTTCAAGCAATTAAACTTAAAAGTGATTTGTTGTTCGGATAATTAGATGGTGATTGCCAAATTATTTTTAAAAAAAATATTTTAAAATTTTTAAATAAATATTTTTTAAAAAAAAAACATGCCGGCCACGGGCCACCCCCTCTTCCGTCTCCGGTCGGGATACAAAGAAATGGTGTTTGTCTCCAACCTGGAGATGAAGAGAGACTTTTTGTCTCTGACCAGAGACGAAGACATGTCATTAATCTTTGGCAGAGACAAAGGAGGGGGAAGGGGTGGTCGGCAGGTTTTTCATTTTTATTTTTTTAAAAAGTGTTTTGTTTTAAAAATTATTAAAATATTTTTTAAAATAAATAAAAATTAATTTGGTAATCGCCACGTCATCTAATTACCCGCCCAACAAATCACTTTAAGTTTAACTGTTTGAATTTGCACTGTTCAAAGATCTGATTGTAGCTTTTTTGAGTTCGATGACCTAATTGCAGTTTAGTGTGTAATTCGATTACCTATTTGACCCTTATTTTTATACTAGTTTTTTACGCGCATTGTGCGATTGGGATAATGCCCAATGCATTTTTTTTTTTAAATAAGTACTTTAAAGTATATTAAGGTATGATTATATTGAAATTGTTCATGCATAGATAATTGAAGGTTGAATTTGCGTATTTAAATAGGTAATTCTTCTCCCAAAGGTTGAGTCCCCAACCCCAAGAGCCCCCCACACTCCGACCCGACAGAGCATTGTAGAAAGTTGTAAATCTCCGACCCGACAGAGCATTGTAGGAAGTTGTAAATCACGGTGACTCAATGGTTTAGCAGACAGGGACAAATGCTGATACGCACAAGGAATCTGCCCACTTTAGACATAATTCCCGCACTGCCGCTGTCGAGGTTCAAACCTTGGTCTCTTCTCCCAAATACTACCCACTAAACCATTGAGCTAAGCCCGTGCGAGTTAAATAGGTAATTCTAAGTTTACAAATGCAAGATAATATAGTCAAGATTGATTATAATTGTCAATAAAATAATTGTATAGGTATGGTTGAAACTAAATACGGGACATAAAGGAAAACAAATAAAAATTAGGGCATAAAATATTAAATATATACTAATATTGTTTGAGGAGATTCCGACATTAGGATTTGTGGTTAAGTTCTATTAAGACTTAGCTTTAATATTAGAATTAGATTAATGGTGTAGTTATAATTCTATATTAGACTTTAATATTAGAATTAGACTAACGGTGAATTAACGGAAAAGTTAAATGGATAATCATATAATTAAGGATAAATTATAAAATCTTAAAAGAAAAAAATTAAAACCTGAACAATATGAACCATTCATTTGATTTAATAATTCGGCGGTCATTTTTTCTACCTAATGTTAATAATTAAATAAATTCGCTGGTCAAATCCGCTAGTATAATCCGCTAACGCTAACCGCTAACTGCTGATTGTCAAACAAGGACATTGCGAGGTAGTTCTCACTTCAGTTTGTTGTGTGATTTGAATACTCTCTTTGTCACAAAATCTCTCAAAGTAGTTAATATGGTTGGCTTTATTAATTATATTTTTTTAATTTTTTCATGGTATTAATAAAATACTTGGTAAATAAATATATAACATTGTTTTGTATTATAACTTTGATATTTAATTAGAAAAATAGTGCACAAAAAAAGATAATAGATAATGTAGTGAATATAATCAATTGATGTATTTGAATGTAAAAATTTTTACATTTGAGAAAAATAAAGAAAATATAACTAATGAAAATATTTCTTTTAATTAATTTATTGATAATTAATAATTTTTTTTCACTAAATAAAGACATTGTAAGGATAATGTAGCGAATATAATCAATTAATAAATTTGAATATAAAGAATTTTTATATTGAAGAAAAATTAAGACAATATAACTAATAAAATTATTTCTCTTATTTAATTTATTGATAATGAATAATTTTTTTTTTTGAATAAAGACATTGTGGACACATAATTCTAAATTAAAGAAATGCATATGTATTATTTTTCGGTGTAACTACTAAATTATTATTTATATAATTTAATAAGAGTAAAATATAGTACTAATTATGCCAACTTTGATTGGGATGAGGTTCGAACCTAAGACCTTTTTTTTTATTGAAATCAATGAGTAAGTTAACGGTGAACTAACGGCAATTCTTAAAATTTTAACGGAATTAGTAACGGTGTGTGGGTATTTTAGGAAATTTTAGTGTAAAATTTAAATCTGATCAATCTTTTAATTAATCTGAGCCATACATTTAATTAAAATCTGTGACCGCCAATTTTTTCTACCCATTATAGGCCTAGCTCTCTTGGGCTCTTATTAGTATACTAGTTTTTTACGCGCATTGCGCGATTGGGATAATGCCCAATTTATTTTGTTTAAATAAGTACTTTAAAGTATATATCAAGGCAAGATTATATTGGAATTGTTCATGCATAGATAATTTTATGTTGAATTTACGTATTTAAATAGGTAATTCTAAGTTTACAAATGCAAGATAATATAGTCAAGATTGATTATAATTGTCAATAAAATAATTGTACAGGTATGGTTGAAACCAAATACGGGACATAAAGGGAGAGCAAATAAAAATTAGGACATAAAATATTAAATATATAATAATATTGAAGAGTTAAATGCTGATTGCGAAACAAGGACATTGCGAGGTAGTTTCCTACCTCAAATTGTTGTGTGATTTGAATACTGTTTTTTATCAATAAATCCCCCAAGTAGTTAATATGATTGGCTTAATTATATATATATATTTTTTATTTTTTAAAACAATTATTATTATTATTATTGTTGTTGTTGTTGTTGTTGTTGTTGTTGTTGTTGTTGTTGTTATTATTATTATTTTTTTAATTATTATTATTATTATTATTATTATTATTATTATTATTATTATTATTATTATTATTATTATTATTATTATTATTATTATACCCTTATGTCATTTTACATGTTAATCTAAACAGCTAATTTTTCAAATATCTTTTTACCAACTGTTGATATAATTCGTTGGTCAAATCAACTCACGCTAACCGCTAACTGCTGATTGTCAAACAAGGACATTGCGAGATAGTTCTCACTTCAATTTGTTGTGTGATTTGAATACTCTCTTTGTCAACAAATCCCTTATATAATGAAATTATTTCTCTTATTTAATTTATTGATAATGAATAATTTTTTTTTGAATAAAGACATTGTAGACACATAATTCTAAATTAAAGAAATGCATATGTATTATTTTTTTTGTTGTAGCTACTAAATTATTATTTCTACAATTTTAATAAGAGCGAATATTGTTAGACCCTTAACGGGAATAAAAAAAAATGTCGGTACACCATACGCTTTAAAAGATTGTACTTTGAGCTCTTCTAATTGTACAATGCCAAATTAAAATTCTAATATAGGCTTATTCTTCTTATTTTTACCAAACTAATAATGTTAAATTAAATAGATTCTGTTAAATAAAAGAGGCGGTGGCAAATTTGTAGTTTAAGTGAAATTGAATGGCAGTTAACATGTGGTCTTCTTCAAACACAAGCGGCAGAAAGCCAAGAAGCACAGCAAACAAATTAGGGCAGCAACTCACAGCTAAAGCGAAATTCGAAACGAGAAGCACAAGCGGAGAAGCACAACTGAATTTGGTCTCTGCCGATTACCGAAAGGAAAGCCAACGGAGAAGCATTGCGTCTGGTATGCAATTTGAGCTATTTTAGTACAGATTAATTACAGATATTTGAGAATTTACATCTTTTTGAGAATTTACCTTTTTTTTTAGGGGGGAGGTGGTGTGAGTTACACAACTGAATTTGGTCTCTGCCGATTACCGAAAGGAAAGCCGACGGAGAAGCATTGCGTCTGGTATGCAATTTGAGCTATTTTAGTACAGATTAATTACAGATATTTGAGAATTTACATCTATTTGAGAATTTACCTTTTTTTAGGGGGGAGGTGGTGTGAGTTACACAATTAGATTTTTAAAGAATTTACCTATTTGAGTCGATTTAATATTCTGAGATTTAGTATTTGTGTTTATTGGTTGTTATTTAGATTCTGAAAATTAATGGGTCTCTCTAACTTGAAACTATCTCAATCACCATCTAATTGGATAGGATTCCTTAATATTCATACTGGCCAGCGATGATACATGCGACTTACTTTGTCTTTTCTTTTCTCTGTTTTTGACTTTTTGGGCGATCGAGATGATTACCGGTTAAATTCTGGTTTATAAAGTTTTTTTACGGAGCACAATTGGATTTTTAAAGAATTTACGTATTTGAGATTCAATTCTTTAGCCTTCACGCCTCCATATCCGGTTAGCAATCAACTTCCATAGTTTCTCACTTACCAGTTTTGCATCTTCAATTCCCAAGTCTTTTGATCTTTTACTTTCATAATTTGTGAATTAATTTGACTTTGTATATCTGCTATGATAATTTTAAATTTATTTACATGCACACACAATGTAGAGGTGTGAAGGAGAAGCATTGCATCTGGTATGCAATTTGAGCTATTTGAGTACAGATTAATTATAGATTATGTAAAGGTGTAAAGGAGAAGCATAGGGGTCGTTTACTAACTTGGAAGAATGGAGGATTTTTCAAAAAAAGGGAGAATTAGAGAAGTGGAAAAATGGAGAATGGAAAACTTGTTTACTAAAATCTTTCCTCCAAATTTACATTCTATCTCCATTCTTCACTTTTTCACTAAATTTGGAGAATAGATAAACAAAGTTCTCCAAATGGAAGAATGGAAGAAGGTGTGCGCGCGTGAACAGTGCCATCCTTAAGGTCCACGGATCGATTCCTACAAATATATACACATTAGTGTATATTCATGCATTTTCCATTTTTCCCCTTCCCTGCGCACAGCCGCCCACAACTGATTATTTACCATTTTCGTTTTAATTACTCATTATTATTATTACAGTTTTTACTTCCCATTTTGTGCTTTTCACATTCAAAATTATTTTTATTATTATTTATTTTTAGCGTTTTTTCCTTTAATTACTATTATTATTATTATTATTATTATTTTGAGTATTACGGAGTATTATTATTATTATTTATGTACTAAAATGATTGAAATAGTTATAATTATCTAGAAATATGTTTTTATCAATTTTTGTTACCTTTTATACATTTAGTATTAGTGTATTGGAATTTTTTTATTTGATGGGGTGAGAACCCCGGCCCAAGAAAAGAGGCCCAGATAGAATGCATGGGCCGAGTCCAGGACTCGGCCCAGGTCCAAAGAGGGAGGCCCAGTTCAGAGACCGGAAGGACGGCCCAATGCCAAACGAGGACGAGGAGTCGGCCCAGGCCCGGCCCAGGAGAGGACTCGGTCCAGAGAGCCGTTGAGGGAGCCTTCAAAGCAGTTAAGACAAGGAGCCGTTGAGGCATTAAAGGCCGGACTCGGTCCGCCAGTTACTAGCCAAAGAGAGCCGTTGGCAGAGTCCGTAACGTCGCCCAACGGCTCGGCACATTGAATGTAATCTTTAAGTCGGCCATCATGAGCCTTTAAGTCAGTAGAGGAGGAGCCACTATAAAGAGGGCTCCTCCACCCTTGTGTGAGGCAGATTCAAGAACCCGGAGAGGGAATAGACAAGTACTATTAAGCATCATATTTTACTAAGACTCAAACCCTTTTGTGAAAGGTGTATCCTCCAGCTTAAGGTTGTGTTGGACCTCCTTGGGCCCGAAAACCCAAAAACCATCACTGGCGCCGTCTGTGGGGATCGAAACGAAGAGTCACGTGTCCTCTTGGGTGAGGCGAGTCCGAGAAACAATAGTTGAATCAGGCAAACTCCAGACATGGCTGGAAGCGGGGAACAGTCGAGCCGTCAAGACAACGGACGAGAGGCCGACTTGAGAAACCAGCTGAATAGAAGAAATGCCCGAAGCCATGAAAACGAGACGACACCGCCGCCGACGCCGCTGAGAAACCCGCAATTACCTCAAGTGCGGCTCACCCCGGAGCAGTTGCGTGCAATCGGACGCGCCTGCGCGGAAGCGAGCCTAGGAGTGAGAGAACAGTCCATCACTCGCCAGTCGCAACGCGAGTTGCAACCGCCTCAGAGGCCAGACAATCGGCAATTGAGCCGACGGGCTGAAAGCCAACCGGTGCAATCCGTTCATTCCCGGCTGGGTCCCAGCGTCGGACGTCGGTCGGCAAGGGAGCGATTAGGCCGAAAGGAGCCCAGTCGTGCCCCATTAGTCGCCCGCGACCGACAAGCTGCACGAGAGAAGAGCCGAACCAAAAGAGCCAGGACTGAGACTCGTCGTGTGGAGCAACCTCCCCGCAACCCCGTCCAACCGGCTGAATCTGAGGTCGGTGAAAGCACGGAATCCACGGGAAATCGCACCCGGGAGAGGATCGAAGTGGCTAACCTAGTACAGGAGGTACGAAGCCTGAAAGAGCGGATGGAAGGAAAAACCAAATCCCCAGGACGTACGTTGCTGACCGCCTTACCCTTCTCAGACGAGGTTATGGCCTTTAAGATACCGAGCGACTTTAAGTTCCCGGAGCAAGCCACATTCGACGGATCAGGCGACCCGCGAGAACATCTATTGAGTTACCAAGCTAAGATGCAAGTCCTAGGAGTGCGGGATCCGGTCATGTGCCGTGCCTTCTTACCTACGCTGAAGGGGCCCGCCCAAAGATGGCTTGTAAGTCAGCCCCCAGGGTCGATCCACAGCTTTGAAGAACTGGCAGACCGCTTCATGAGCCACTATGCCGCTAACATCAAGCCACAGAAGGATCTGACGCACTTAGGCGACATCCATCAGGATGAAGGCGAGTCCTTGAAAGCCTATCTTGCTCGCTGGCAGAAGGAGATCCAGTCGATAGAAGAGGTGGAGGACCAAACAGCGCTCACCTTCTTCATTGAATCTTTGCGATCCGGACAGCTGTATCGAGACCTAAGGGACAACCGCCCGGCGACATACGCGGAGGCTATCCAGATGGCCAATAAGAGGGCCAACACAGAGCAGGCCATGAAGCATAAACGGCAGCGCGAGGTCGGTGGGTCCGCCAGCAGAAAAAGGACGCGGGTGGAAACGAGAGAAAGGCGTTCGGATGCCGCCCGGCGACCCGAGGTCAGGCGACCGTATGATCGACCCGTCGTTCACACCTATCGACCGGTTCCAGAGCGACCAGTCCGCGAAGTACAGGCGGTCGCCCCGCCTCCGCCTCTGCCGATGGACGACCGAGCAGCGGACGAGGATACGGGTAAGACTTCTAAATATTGTCGCTATCACAAATCTTATACTCACAGCACAGAAGAATGCTACTATCTAAAGAAGATTATGGAGGGGATCATCCAGCAAGGGATACCGCCCCCTAACCAATGGAAGCGAAGGTCGACCGGTCGAGGAGGTGAGGGACCCGTCGCCGACTCAGAAAACAGCCGAGGCAAGCAGCCGGCTTCCGAAGAGAACGAAGCCCAATGGCGCCAGAAGCCGGTCATTAACATGATAGTCGGTGGGCCAAAAGGCGGCGATTCCGCGAACACCCGAAAAGCCTGGGCTCGGCAGCTATATGTCGGAACAGTCTATGGTCGAGAAGAGAGCTCCAAAAAGATATGCCGGGAGCCCATCGTGTTCACCGATAAAGACCTGCCAGCCGGGGAAACCCCGCATCGAGACGCGTTGGTCATCGCCATGGACATCAACGGTGTGGTCGTTCGCCGAATCCTGGTCGACACCGGGAGCAGCGTCAACGTACTGTACCTGGAAACCTTTACCAAGATGGGGCTGACCCGAGAACAGCTCAGGCCCGTGAACACCCCTCTCGCCGGATTCACCGGGGACTCGGTGGAGGCGGAAGGGTCCATCACTCTTCCTGTGGAAATCGGCAGCTATCCGAACGTACAGCAGTTGAGCATGAAGTTCATCGTGGTCGATCTAGCCTGCTCACACAACGCCATACTCGGCCGCCCGGGTTTGGAAGACCTCGGGGCTCTGATCTCAATCGAACATTTGTGCCTGAAATTCCGCACGCCGAACGGAATAGGAACGGTGCGTTGTGACCGCAAGGTCGCCCGCGACTGCTATCTGCAGGCATGTAGAGGTATGGGCAAGCGTGGGATGCAGGTCCATGAGATCACCGAGAGGCCCCCTAAGAAAACAGTGATACCACGCCCGGAGCCGGCCGTCGAGCTAGAGGAAGTTGAAGTGGACCCAGCGCAGCCAAGCAGGCGAGTGAGAATCGGAGTCGGCCTTTCGGAGAAGTTAAAGGGGGAAATCACGAGAGTACTCCAAGAGCACCGGCTGGTCTTCGCCTGGGGCCCAGAAGATATGCCCGGCGTAGATCGATCGGTCATATCGCATCGACTCGCCGTAGACCCGGAGCACCGGCCGGTCGTGCAAAAGAAACGATACTTGGCCAACGATCGGAGGGAGTTTGTGAAGAAAGAAGTCAGCACGCTGTTAGCAGCCGGACACGTCTGTGAGGTCAAGTACCCGGAATGGTTGGCTAACGTGGTCATTGTGCCCAAGCCCCCGACGTGGCGAATGTGTGTAGACTACACGGATCTTAACAAAGCATGCCCAAAGGATCCGTTTCCTCTGCCCCGAATCGACCAGCTAGTCGACGAGACGGCCGGGTCGGCGTTGCTCAGTTTTATGGATGCCTTCAGAGGGTACCATCAGATATTCATGCACCCGGCAGACGAGGAGAAGACCGCCTTCCTA